CACACACACACACACACACACACACACACACACACACACACACACACATGTACGCACGTACGCACATACACAAAATAAAATTGATTTATAAATTAGAACTTAACTTTAAATTTTTATTAAATTGATATTTAATTATTTTTTGTGAAATTACTACACTAGTTTGTTATAATTATTATTTTTACAAAGATCGAACATTCAGAAAAAATCCTTCGAACCGGCCGGATTCGAACCAACATCTTCTAGCATACCGTGCCGGACGCTATACCAACTAAGCCACGGAACGAACCAGTGGACCTCACGAATTTTTCGATTTTTTAGTCGTAGCGCCATCTATGAGAAATCTATGAAAGTTTTATCACCCAGTTAGATACCTTTACAGCTACCGGCCCTGGCGAGAGATGTCTCTATTTACGGTATTTTAAATTTTTATTGAATTTATATTCAATTATTTTTTGGGAAATTACTCCACTACTTTGTTATAATTATTAATACAAAGATCGAACACTCAGAACAAATTCCTTCAATCCTTTTGGTTGGTCCGAATGGTTCTTTCCGTGGCTTAGCTGGTATAGCGTCTGGCACGGTATGCTAGAATACGTCGCTTCTAATCCGGCCGGATCGAAAGAATGTTTTCTGAGTGTTCGATCTTTGTACTAATAATCATAGAACTTAACTTCTTCGACACTTTATTAAACGCTTGTTATATTCGTCGTTGGAGATGTATCCTATAATACAAACTTGTGAAAGAGTTCGGCCAAGGGAAGTACTGCTAATGGCTGAGGAGGCGTTAACCAACGTGTGCGACGCGGCCATGCCACGTGTTAGACCTTATCCCCCTCGGCCCAAGGTGAGCTGGTGGTCCACGGAGCTCGCTCAGCTGCGAAAATCCTGTGAGGAGGCAAGACGCCAGCATCACCGGTGCCATAGGCGCCGTAGGAGGGATGTGGAGGAGCTTTCGCGACTCTATGGGGCCTATAGCGAAGCCTGCAAGTTGTTGCGGGCTGCTATCGGCAGGGCAAAGGACCTGGAGAGGTTAGAGATGCTGAAGACCCTTAACCGCGATCCGTGGGGAAGGCCGTGTAAGGCGGTGCGGTGCAAATTGGCACCCCCATTAACGCAGAGTCTCCAGCCCGAACTGCTGGATCAGGTTGTGAGAGCCCTATTTCCAGAAAGGGCGCACCACACACCTCCGCCGATGGCGCCGGCAGTGGAACCAAACCAGGACGAGTGAGGTAGCACGGGTGCACACGAGGTCACTGATGCAGAGTTGGGTGCAGCGGTGTTGAGGCTGCGTGCCAAAAACACCGCCCCAGGCCCGTATGGGGTACCTGGTCGTGCACTGGTGCTGGCCCTAGGTCCCCTAGAACCGCGAACGAGAGCGCTCATGAGTGCCTGCTTGGAGCAAGCCCATTTTCCAGAGAGGTGGAAGATTAGTAAGCTGGTCCTGCTCCACAAAGAGTGACGATCGGCTGAGTCGCCATCTGCATACAGACCGATCGTGCTGCTGGATGAATTAAGTAAGCTTTTCGAGCGAGTCATCGTCGCTCGGCTCATAAGGCATCTGAAAGAGGTAGGACCGGACCTCAACGCCAAACAGTTTGGTTTCCGTCGAGGCAGGTCCACCATTGATGCCATTGCACAGTTGAGGGACCTGGCGGACGAGGCGGTGGGCAATCGCGAAGTGCTCTTGGTGGTGTCTCTTGACATCGCCAACGCCTTCAACACACTGAACTAGAGGCGCTGAAGTTCCATTGCTTGCCCGAGTATATCCAAGCCGTAATATATCCAAGCCGCGATGGGGTGGGTCGAAGGAGCGTGTCGTGCGGTGTGCCACAGGGGTCAGTTCTCGGACCGCTCCTGTGGAATATCGGGTACGACTGGGTGCTGCGTGGGGAGTGCATGGGTGGAGTCGATGTAGTATGTTACGCCGACGACACCCTGGTTACGGCCCGAGGCAGCACACACCGGGAAGCTATAGTGTTAGCCACGGCTGCGGTTGCCCATACTGTGACCAGGATTCGGCGTTTGGGCCTAGAGGTAGCACTGGAGAAGTCTGAGGCTGTGTGCATCCACGGGCCTCGGAACGCACCGCGCGCGAGCACGACATTGGTGGTGGGGGGAACCTTCATTGCTGTTAAGAGTACCATAAAGTACGTCGGACTGGTCCTTGACAGTCGATAGGCGGAGACCGCAGCGAGTTATAACGGTCAGGGTGTCGAGAGCATATCGCACCACCTCTTACGAGGCGGCATGCGTCATGGCAGGTACCCCACCATGGGATCTGGACGCAGAGGGGCTGTCAGCTTTCTATTGGCGGTTGGCAGAGCTGAGGTCCGAAGGAGAGGAGCCACTTCTGGAGCACATTAATCGATGGCGGATAAACATCCGGGCCGTGTTCCGGAAGTGGCAAGAGAGCTGGAGGAGCCGAGATCTGGCCACTGGACCATCGGAGCGATTCGACCAGTCCTGGCAGAATGGGCGGATCGATCCTGGGGAGGCATCTCCTACCACCTTGCACAGGTTCTGACGGGACACGGTTGCTTCGGCAAATACCTGTGCAGGGTGGGACGAGAACCGACGACCGTATGCCATCAGTGTGGCTGCGCCGAAGACACGGCCCAGCACACACTGCAGGTATGTCCGGCGTTCGACGAGCAGCGCTCAACCCTGACCGCAGTGTTGGGGGGCACGACCTATCCCTGTCGACCGTGGTGCGAGCCATGGTCGGCAGCGAGAGGGCGTGGAGTGCGGTGGCCTTCTTCTGCACCGATGTATTGTCGCGTAAAGCAAAGGAAGAAAGGAAGAATGCCGCCCTGACAGTGAACCCTGGGTGGCAAAACGGGGGCTTTGTCACTCACTGGGCAAGGGTTCACGGGTTGGTTGTCATGCCAAGTATTCCCGACATGCCACTAACGACGGAGTGGAGACGGTAAAGTCTCCCAGAGGTGGGTCCGCAGTCGCAACCGCAGGCGGGGTCGTGGATCGTAAACCACGTGGCCACAGCCCCGTCCCACGAGGAATGTGGGAATACCCGGGGGTTTTTAGTGAGTAGGAGTCTCACATAACCACCGCGCCTCCCCGTGACGCGGTGGTATCCATGACGGATTTTCCCCCGGAAAAAAAAAGGAAAGTACTGCTACCTTACCTATTTCAGCCATCAAGCATAAATGTTAGCATTACTGTGTTCCGGTTTTGAAGGGTAAGAATCCTGGTGAAATTACAGGGACTTGTCAACTTCAGACCTGAATCTATGCGATTTAAAGCTTTGAGTGGCACTGCAACTGATATGGACAGGCGTGTAGCTTATTATCATAAAAAAAATCTGCTTAGGTGACAGAATTTTGCAAACATAATGTAACAGGTTTTTATTACGTGCCTAATAAATACCACCAACTGTTGTATTGGTGGAACAAATAAATCCATTATTATTATTTTGATGAATCATTCAAAATATTAATTGATTACAAGATATAAAGATTCACGAAGCCGTACATAAAGGACAGTACAAAGCTTTCCAGGGTGACCCCTAAATGTATGCAATATTTTTAAAGGGTAATTCATTGTATCCATCCAAAAGAACAACATTTACTATGGAGACCCTACTCAATCGCGACAATATAAATCAGCTGTTCCACACATTTAGGTAGAGTAGGTATAAACATTTAGTATGGGAGAGCTGATTTTCTGTAAGCGCTTTCAGAAGCATCCTATAATAAAAATTGTTTGTGATGGTGGGTCGAAGCACCTCTTAAAACCTCGCAGACCTTTCGGGGTTACCCTATGCATAGTGTATGTACATGATTCATAGTGGTAACTTGACTCAAGCTAAGTTCTACAATTAATTCAGTACCTCGTGCTAGTTCAATAATTTACTCACCATCTGGTACTTCTATAGGTGCTACAGAGACTACATTCTGGCCGCTAGATATCTCCCGACCTGAAATACAAATTGAATATTGTAACAACTATAACACAATTGTCGCTATATTCAGTTCCATCTTGCATGCCTGGATGGCGATAGTTGTAGGTACTCTAAGATTATATTGTTCACTTTATTTATAATCCTTCTGTAGAAACTGAAACCTAGTTGAAAGAACGCTTGCCTCGCCACAACAAAGCCACATGGCGGAGAAGGTTCACAAAACTCTTCAGTGTGGTATACAAGGCATTTCCTAAAGGTAATACATATTAGGCATTCAAAAACAATCGTAAGGTCAAAATAAAAATGTTGACTTTTACCATTCCATCATTTTTAGCATTCTAAAGCAATGTTTGTAAATACATCAAAATACCAAAATATGGATTTAAGGTCCTAGGTGAGAAGCACAGATATTATTTAACAATTCATTTGCATAGTCAATTAATTTGTAATTTGTGGAACTATGTCCAATTGCAAAATTTAAGCAATATACATCGCATTTAATAATAATACGTATGTATAATATATGCCTAAATAGCCTTAATACCTTGCAGTGCCTTTTGTATCAAGCCGCATAACAACTTCAACTAATCGATAGATAAAGTTATTTCAGAATCTACATTGTGGTAGAAACTACAACCGTTAAAAGTTTCCAGTGTTTAATTACATTGTGCGGTATGTACCGCAGGTTATAAATGAGCTTTATGACGATGGATGCAGTAATCAACTCGTAATGTACAGCTATTACTTTAAACATTTTTATTACTCCATTGTATACGTTCGCATTACGCCATAAACGTTATATAATATGGGATAAGTCTAGTGCAACAACTTAATAATGAACTACGATATCTAATACTACACGAACCACCTCGTATGTAGGTACCTATTTGTTTCATTCGGGTGAATTCGTGCGATGTGATCACTAGCGGTGAACAAACAAAATTAGTTTCGTGTTCTGTTTAGTTGCGGTATCTGTATACAGATTTTGCTGGACATACGTGAGCCAACTTTGAAAACAACATGTATATAATTTTGTATATTAATAATTTTCAGTATAATACTATAATGTAGTCACAAGTTCCTGGTACAGGGATAAACGTAAAGCTAGACTCTCAAGTTTCAAATTTAACCCTATGCCGCTTGCAATAAAGTCTGTCCAAAGCCCAAAGTGTCAAGCCTAATGTGCACAGAGTTATACTTGCGTTTGTGAAAATTGGATGTTTGCTTGGAAGGCCTGGCGCCCATTGACGGGACAGTGTAGCAAGGGATACTTCGGCATTCCCATATGTAACAGAACGCGCGCGCGCACACCCGCACCCGCATCCGCACCCGCACCCAAGCCCGCGCCCGCGCCCGCGCCAGTATTGTGACAACTGCACCCGATTGGCTAGCCCGAGTTCGAAACAATTGATGGGTGTCGTCAATGAGTGTCGTCAACTGTTTCACTTCAAATCAACCTAACTTGAGCTTTGCTATAATGGACGAAAATTGCAAAATTACATATTTAATATTTAATTACCGATGAAATGTGATTCCGTTTGTTTTGTAATTAGATATTTTGCTGTTTTTCCCACACCACCGAATATAACAGCACGGTATTGTTAGAGATATTATCTTTATTACAATAAATACAGAATATTTTTTGGAATATACAGAGACGTACATACAGGTCAGTAGTTGGCCGGTCTATATTTCAGTGCAAACGCGAGTTGATATTTACAAGATCTGTATCGCTAATGTGTTACCAGGAATATATGGCCCTTACTTCGTCTCTATTTCTGGGTATATACTCGATGCCAGCATTACTGTGTTCCAGTTTGTAAGGGTAAGGGTGCTGATGAACTTACAGCCACATGAGACTTGTCAACTTATGTTATTTGTGTACTTATGAGGTAACGGGCGCAGTGGTAGTGCCCCTCATATCTTTACGCTTTAAAGCTCTGATTGGCACTGCAATTGTCATGGACGGCGTGTAGCTTACCATCAGGCGCACGACTTGTTCGTCCCGAATAACTTTCGAAAGCCTGCCGAAGCATCCCGAAGGTTTACGAGGCATTCCGGAGGCAGCCGGCTCGATGTCCCTAAGCTTGCTATAGCTTTGTTTTTGTAGTTACGACCTTTATAATTGAAATTGCAATTACAATATCATAATATTAAAGTATATTTTATTCGGTCTTACTGTCGAATGTAAAAAGACTAGAGGTGTTAATTGATTGCATTTTATTTTAAAATAGGTATTGGCCACTGAGTGTATGGAACCAATAACGATCAAAGCGTCAGTTCATTGAAAAACACTCTAAAATAAATCCATTAACTATTTTTTTTTTCATTTGAGAATGGTGTGCTATTACGGCTAGCGTTGACAGGCACACTCCGCGGTGACGACAGGATTGTTCCATTATCGACGAGCGGATGAATAATTGACACCCTACGATACGCTCTGCTGGAGGTGGCAAAGTTGCCTTCTTACACCCTAATGGGAATAGTGTTCTGAAATCTGATTAACAAATAAATATCGGATTACCGTTCTTAATCGTTGGCTTAATTGCAGGTTTGATTGTTGAAATTACAATGTAATCAATATTTAGTTAGCTTTACTAAAACTTGATAACGTCTGGTTA